GACGTGATTGGTGGTATTTTCCTCCAATTACAAGAAGCGTGAGAACCTAATAGTTTACCCCTTTGCTCTACACAGGAAGCACGTCCGCTGGTTCTGACCTGGGTGATCGTCACTATCATCTGCACTGCGGTGTCTCTGATCGTCTACATCTATGTGACAGTGGCGTCTCTAGCACTCATCGCGACCATTGTAAGCCATATATTGTTTACTTTTTCTTCTGGGTCGCCATTAGTAGGTTATAATTTACGAGTCTGCATGCACTTAATTTGCGACTTATTCATGTATTCATCTTGAACAGTCACGGCATATCTAGAACAGTCACGGCATATCTATTTTATTCACTCCTCTAGAGCAAACAATCTGCCAACTTTGTAGTTTACGTTAAGTAGAAGACAAAGTTTTTCCGTAAACTTCTATTTGTATGATAGCTATAGAATCTTTTTTTAAGTTATGTAACTTGCCCCATTTCAAAAATTTGAATAGTTCAAAGAAATTTATACCCCTTTGACAACCTGTATTACTGAGAAACGAGAGCAAGCTTAGTAGAATGTAATAGAGTATATTAGATGCTCATATGCACGTTTATTATATGATTGCCAATACGTGACCTGTATTTAGCCCAATGAAGTACAATAAATTTTTTTCATTTTTCGTTATTCCCGGATTGTGTAACCCTGCATGAAGATGGGAGATTGTTTTGACAATTGATTGGTCAAAAAATGGCGTAATACTTGCCCTTATTTCCGAATTATTGATATTTTATATTGAAAATTTGGTATACGTCGTGTTACAAACATGAACCTGCATGTTTTGCAGACATACCCATAATCTTTGTTTTCCAGTCTGCTGAAAGCGAAATCCAAGCCGCTATCGTGGGGGCCAGTGTTGCGGGTATCGCTATCGCTTGGATCATCTGGGGAGTTTTCTTTATCCTGACGGTAGGGCATTGTCAATCAGTCAATCAAGTTGTTGTTTTAAAAATAAAGCAGAAAATTTCATGGCCATTCTCTCATTAGTTGAACTTCTGATTGTGATTAACAGTCAGGATCAGTCTATTGCCGTATGTATTTTACAGGTGTACGGCTGCCTTGTGGTGTTTTCGCACTACCAGAACCTCCGTGACGCGGCAATGGGACAGGGCCAGCAGCAGATGGTGGTGATTGGGAACCAACCCGGCATGGCAGGCAACCAGTCTTACATGGTGGGCAACCAACCCGGCATGGCAGGCAACCAGCCCTATATGGTGGGCAACCAACCCACCATGGCGGACAACCAGCCTTACGGCAGCCAACCGGTCATGGAGAACAAGCAACCCGCTATGATGGGTCCCCAACCGGGTTTGGGCCAAGTATCCCACGACGTAAGTACTTTCAATTAGTATCCCGTGTGGGTTTTTTTTGATAATACGGAAATATTGTTTTTGGTGGCGGAGCGGTGGGTTTGTGTGTATGGGGATTTTTGCCAGAGGTGGAAAATTGTTGTGGACAGCCAAATTGATATTTCTTTGTGGACAGCCAAATTGATATTTCTTTGTGGAAAGCCAAATTTATATTCCTTTGTGGACAGCCAAATTGCTCCTACGGCCGGCGGCTACTGAACAGAGAGGAAGACTGAGAGAAATCTTGGCAGAGTAGGTTAATGATACATGGGGAGGGAAGATAAGTGGAGGTAAAATGGAAATACACAAGAAATGTAGTGAACCAGCAAAATGCTTGACTGCACGTGGATGGGCAATCCAACAGACAGAATTGCAGGCCGAACAGGCATAGACAATAGGGGGCGTATTCGAAAGCCAAGAAACCAAAAATACTTTCCGGAAGTCTGTAATGTCCATTTTCTGTGTGTTGGTTTACTTTGCTGTTCTAAATATATTAATGCCGTTTTACTTTACTGTCTAATTCTAGGTGAAGCTGTGAGCGATGGAGGAACTGCATCACTGAGACAACACGAAGATCCACTGCTATTTCATTAGTGCAGCAATGCTTTTACCTAGCACTTTTTCTAATATTAATATAATGTAATGTATTGTATTGATACGTAAAGCAAATGGGTAGAAGAACAAACATGAATGTATTGATCCTACAAATGCAAGTTAATTGTACTATGCGTAGTTTTGTATGGGCGATTAAACTAGAGAAAAAAAGGAAAGTGTTCTGACAGATATAGATCTAATCGATTCACGGTGTGTTGAAATGTGGTTACGTATTCTGCTTCTTAGGTAAATTCTATGAACCGTCTGCAAAATGAACAATATTTTAGTTTTTTATGTGCCTTTTTCGACGTTCCAGTAAGGCCACAGCAAGTGATTTTCATGGGAGACATCAGCACGCGCATTGTTTTGTCTAATTTTGTAAAAACAACACAAGAAATTCTGTGACACTCTGACACTAGTCAATTTGCCAAAATGGGCAAAATGTCTGTTGCCATGCTGGAACGTGGATTGCAGATAGACATGAAGACAGAAGACACGACAAGGCTATGATTTATTGATTAAAAACTTTAATCTTTCAATGACAATGGATTTGTAATTTTGTAGTTTACAGAAGCACAGAATAGGTTTCATTAATTGTTTAACAATGTTTATGGTGTTTGTTCATGTCGAAAGTTGAAAATGTAGGAATCTTGTTTTTTGGGCCCGCCTTGTTTTATTTTCGCCCTATCGCAATGAATGTGGAGTCTGTGGAGGATGTCATCCATAACATTTACCTCACTCTCTTCCGTAGCTTAGTCAGCCGTCGGGGCAGCATGATGTTTGGCCAAGTTCTTCCACTGCTGGCGGTCCTCCGCCAGTCTGGCCATCTGGTTGGCTGTTAGACCGACCCACTCCTTTAAGTCTGTAATCCATGACCGACGGGGACGTCCCCGCGGCCGTGCGCCTTCCACCTTACCCTGAAGAACTGTATGTGAGAGTGTGCCTTTGGCCCTAGACACATGTCCGAACCACTGTAACTTTTTCTTCTTAGCTTTGGCCAGGAAGCTGTCGAGTGGGCCTTGCAAGGTGTGAATGCGTTCCATGACCTCTTTGTTTGTAGTGTGTGATGTCCAGTGAACCCGTAGCAGTCTGCGATAACAGTTCATCTCAAACGCATTCTATTCACTTTAGCTGCATTCATGGTCCATGTCTCAGCACCATACAAGAAAATAGATGGCACGAGACAACGTAGTAGGCGTATCTTTGTAGGCATGGAGATACTATGATTGCACCAGATGTGTTTTAGCTTTGACAGTGCAAGGGTTGGCTTGGCAATCCTGACTTTTACCTCTTTGTCTGAGCTGCAGTCTTCTGTCTGGACAGAACCGAGGTATGAAAACTTTTACCAGCATTTACCTGCTGTGGCCTAATGTTGGAAATAATCATAGACTCTTCAGGACCCCTAGGCTCTTATCAAAGCCTTTTTAATGTTTTAGCATCAACAAAGCCTACGACAATAACAGTTTCGTCCATCAAAATCATGGCTAGGTCCACACATGACCATCGCTAATACTGATTGGCAGCCATGATCGTCCTGTTGAACTGGGTATAATTTGCAGTTGTCCATGTACGAACATCTTTGTCGACATAATGGCTATCTTATTGGTCTGTATGCCAAATATTACTGATAGGGAAATTTAAAAAACAATACACGTTGCAGCACAAAATGAGTGCTATTATAATTGTATTTTTCCAACCAAGCTGATATATACATGCATGTACCTTCCTAAAAAAATCGCAGATATCATTTTTTAAATTTGAAAAAAAAAAGCTTGATTTTCCTATTTAATGAAGTTTTTATATTTTGGAATTTACCCATAGCAACGACTCGCCCACTCAAACATGTAATTATATAATCAGACATTGTTGCTTTTAATCGACAATACTAGACCTCGTTATTTATGTTTCTGTATTATGTGTATACTTTATATTATTTGATAAACTAGAGTTCCCAATCGAATACCTTCGCCAAATGATGTTAGCCTTTATGACTAAGAAAGTATAACTTAATTCCCTGATTGTGAAAATAGGATCCTCAATTGCATGAATTATATATGCTATTCTACACCAAAAGATAGTCTTATCGTAACAAAGAATGACATTATAGTATTTCCTTCAGAATTATGGAAATGACGCTCTTATTTGAATGAGATATGTTTAATGATGATTACCTTCACTTAAGTTTTAAATTCCCTAGTATGAAATTCCAGGCAGTTACCACAATGGAATTATTATGCAATAATTTGATAATTGCAATATCATTATGTCAAGCATCCCTTAAGCTACCTACATACTAAAAAAAACGACGATCCATCAATCGGTTTTTGAGTTATCTTTCTTAAACCATTTTTCGAAAAACGCCCCTGCAGTTCCAGAGCAAGCAGCTTGGGGGCTCAAAATCATGTCGTTTGTCATTTCACTGTCATTTCATCCCCAGCACAAGAGCTATCTACCATATAAATTTTGTGCCCCTGGCATGTACAGATCACGAGATATCAAAACCGAAAGTCCTGCTGCAGTACCATAGCAAGCTGCCAGGGACCCCAAAATCTAATCATTTTGAGGACCTACCCACCTACCAAATATAATGATAATCGAGGAGATGTCTTGACAATGGCCGTGGCAACAAAATGGAGTAAATATGTGTTGCCGCTGTACCCAGTCTTGCTTGTCGTAGACCTTTCACATTCTAACAGCCGCGTTTTAAACGGATTATCATAAAATAAATACACATATAGACAAGCTGTTTAATACATGCAGATATATTTTCCTATTAAGATATTTCTTAGTTTTAGAAATTTTTTGAAGATGTTTGATGTCAGTTGAGGATAACTGCTCAAAATCATGTCGTTTGTCATTTCACTGTCATTTCATCCCCAGCACAAGAGCTATCTACCATATAAATTTTGTGCCCCTGGCATGTACAGATCACGAGATATCAAAACCGAAAGTCCTGCTGCAGTACCATAGCAAGCTGCCAGGGACCCCAAAATCTAATCATTTTGAGGACCTACCCACCTACCAAATATAATGATAATCCAAAAAATATCAAGATAATCCTTTAACCCTACCTAGACCAGGGGGGGGAGCTAAAAGTGCCCGCGGCAACTTTGATGTCACCTAGCGTCTAAACGGCTAGCCGTAGAACGGCCAAACTTGGTGACTTTTCCTAGAATATTGTTGGTAACAATTCTCTATCTTTGGAACAAGATAATAATTTTTGTGTTGCCATGGCAACGGGTTTCTAACAGGTATTTTTTGCTAAATTTAGTACTTTTTGTTTCAACAATAGAATTTTATGGGTTTCATGTCAAGTTACTCATGGTTTCTATATTAGTAACATCCCATATAATTTTATGTAAATTTTATCATTAAATATGCATAATTTATGCTAATTTGATGACGTCATTGGTCAAAATCCAAGATGGCGGACCATATCATTAGAACAGGTATATTCAGGTTATTTTCATTAAAATTTCATCAATACTTCCATTTCTTTTTCCAAAAAAGGCTTAAATAAGATACGACATATTTTGGACACATAAATGCAATAAAAAGTATAACTACGTAACCAATACTACAAAAAAAACAAACGGAAAGATAGCCAACATGTATATTGTTTTGCTTCATACGTAATGGAATAAAAATTGTGAAAACCATTATAATTGTAATACCTTATTAATAAATTAATAAATTATTGCTGAAGCAGCTGGTTAGATATTTAAATACCTATCAAATTGCTTGAATAACTTTTTTCTTGTATATCTTATATCCTAAATGTCCAACCTTCTTTGACGAATTTAAGGCCAATGTTTAATAATTTTTACATGAACAGCTGGCTAACGAGGAGATGTCTTGACAATGGCCGTGGCAACAAAATGGAGTAAATATGTGTTGCCGCTGTACTCAGTCTTGCTTGTCGTAGACCTTTCACATTCTAACAGCCGCGTTTTAAACGGATTATTATAAAATAAATACACATATAGACAAGCTGTTTAATACATGCAGATATATTTTCCTATTAAGATATTTCTTAGTTTTAGAAATTTTTTGAAGATGTTTGATGTCAGTTGAGGATAACTGCTTTTATCAATTTCCTTTGTTTCACTGCAGCTCATCTTTTTGTTTGTCAATGTTTCTCTCGTTGTTTTCTTAGTGAGGAAACTGGACGCTAAGAAGACATCGAATCTAATACATTGTGAATGTACGAAGATGGCCTCTTGGGGAAGAAATAGACGATTGCGAATATTTAGAAAAATCACGTTCATGATTGTAACAGTCCAGGATTGCAATGGCATTTCAAATATCTCACCTCAAGATTATTAGAAACTTTGTGCAGTATGAAATGTGCACATCTAGCTGAGAGCACGCATGCCCATTTGTAACCCTTCTACATTTGTACTTTGAGCTACCGGCAATTACATATTTTCAACACACAAACGTGCAACTAATTACAGCTCAGAAGCAGATGGGATTTTATAATAGGTGGAAATATGACAATAAACGGAAATTAACATATTTCGGTTCATTATGATTTCTTCTCAGACACTCTTGTTTACGAATCAATCAATCAATCTTTATTGCGCAACAATTGCAATGGATACAATGTATGGCAAGTGTTTAAATCAAAAGATAACAACAATACTAAAATCTACTTCTAGATACCTTATTCTAACGCTACCCTATAATTGTGAGTGATGAATTATACAATATATATGGAACATGGATACAATGTTTACATCAGTTCAAGGTGTCACAGGTGATATTGTTTCTTTTCTGAAGAGCAGAGGATATGAATTGGCCTATATACAAGAAATTGGTTCAGGACATGACATCAGTAAATTAAAAGTATCTGAGCTTGTCTTAGGTAAGGTAATGTTTGAGTTACGTGAAATCATATTCATAAGTGTCAACCTTTCTTCAGTATACATGGGACAAGATAATAAAAAGTGACATTCATCTTTAACAGTATGTTTACATGTAGGACAGCGTCTCTGAGTGGCTGGTACATTCTTATAACGACCTTTTTCTATTTCTAAACAATGTGCACTGATTCGCAGTTTGGTTATGTTAGCAACAAATGATTTGTTTTGGATTGATGAAAGGTACTTCTCAAAAGTGAAGTCCGTTTTGAATTTAGAATAGGTTTGCAATTTATTGTAATTCCTTATTTCTTGCCTCCAGCCAGAAACAAACGTGTCTTTCAGACGTTGTTTGAACACGTTTCCAAAATGCTTGTCGTCAACTGTTGGGTTTAGCCAAACATTTTGAAAACCGTGTCTACATAAAATATCTTCTACATGAACGACCCAGTCCTGTTCTTGTTCCAAAGCAATATCATAAGCCTTTTTGACTATTCTGTCATTGGGCAGGTTGTGTAGTCTGAGCCAATATTTAATGAGGTGTGATTGCGAGTCAATATAAAGTGGAAAAGCTCCAAGTTCGCCCCTTACGGCGGCATTAACAGAGCTTCTGGGAATCTAAAGTAGTGTTTTACAGAAATTGAGGAGAACGTGCTCTAGGTCGGGTATTTCATACGATGCTTTGGGATAGTTCAACGATATGTTTTGAATAGCTAGCTGTTTAGACTGGTATGTAAGATTTAATTTGTCACTGTATTTCTTAAAACGAACCAGAACAGGACGAGCCGATGGCAAATCACATTTCTTCCCTATTCGTGTAACCTTTAAGAGCTGTACGTTTGCACCTAATATCGGCGAAAGTATGTTATATATTTGACTTCTCTTGTGTTTTCACCAGAATATTCCTGTATACCATTGAAGAATCAAATCCCTACATTGAATGTTTGCCCCCAGTATTTCTGTACAATAAAGTAAGATGGGCTTTATTAGACTATTGAACAAGTCAAGGGCAAGAGTTATGGATGGGTTGTAGTTTGAAGCCAGAAAAGATTTTAGTTTGAAGGAAGCACGTAAAGCTTTTAATCTTAATTGCTTGGTAGCCCGTGTAAACGACCCTGATGGAGTAATATCTATCCCTAAGTATGTATAAGACTGGGCGATGTTTATCGTGTGTCCTTGCGTTTGGAAAGTGGAGTTTTGGTTTTTATATGTTCTTCCATTTTTTGAAAAGATCATTACTTTAGTCTTGTTTTTATTGATTGATAATTTCCAAAGAGAACAAAAATCGTCTAGTCTTTTAAGACATTCTTTAAGGCCCTTTTCTGATTTGGATAATAATACAAGGTCGTCTGCCCAGAGAAGGCTATTTATGGGTGTGTCTTTGAGGTCAATAGGATCACATAGAGGTGAGGAAAACATATTTGGAAGATCGTTTATATATAGATTAAACAAAAGAGGAGATAAATTGCATCCTTGACGCACACCACAAGTCGATTTAAAGAAATCTGATAATCCAATCGGCGTTTTGACACAATATTCTAAATTAGAGTAGATGGATTTTATGATTCTAAAGAAATTCCCGCCAATACCAGAAGATAAAATTTTATAAAATAACCCATTCCTCCAAACGGAATCAAATGCTTTTTTGAAGTCTACAAAACAAGCATACAATTTGCCACAAGGTGCAGATATCTGTTTGTTGATTAAAGTTTTGAGTACAAATATGTTGTCACTGGTACGGAAGTTTTTACGAAAGCCGGACTGGAAACGGGATAGGAGGTTATCGTCTTCAAGGAAACGCTGTAGACGTCTGCTTAATATGAATGTGAATAACTTTCCGACGCAACTGGATATCGCTATTCCTCGATAATTAGACGGATTTGAAGAACTGCCACTTTTATGAATTGGAACCAACGTGCTTCGGCTCCATTGATTTGGAAAATTACCAGAATGAAGAACAATGTTGAATAGTTTTTTTAGAGGTGTTACTAGTTTTGTCTGCCCATATTTCAGCATTTCGTTTATGATGGAGTCTATACCACTTGCTTTGCTGTCTTTTAGATTACGTAGACCCTCTAAGATTTCGTTTTCTGTGATTTCGGTATCTAGCGGGTTTGATGTTAACTTTTCGAGGTAGCTAATTATGTTGTCTGTACGCTTCGTGTTGTCTATGTTTGATGTGGTTTTATTACCTTCTGTTTGACATAGGTCAGACCTCTCTCGAGCTATGTATTCGTGGAATGTCGAATCGGACTCACCACTTCCCGCCAAGTTATTAAGATTTTCAAAGTGATTTTTCCAATCTTCAGGGCTGAT